TTCTGATTCTGATTCTTGCTCAGGGACACTCTGGCAGGGTGTCGGGGAGCTGACTGTCAGTGCAGCAGAAGCTCCACAGGCGCCAGATGGTCATCTTCTCTTTCCCCCAGACAGAACACTCCCTCCTGGGGAAAAGTTCACCACAACTCAGCCTGGCAGCCTGGAGATCCAGCAGCTCCTCCAACACACGCCAGCGCTCGCCTTCCTGTACATGTGAAGACCATCAACAACCACATTCCTCTCCAGCTTTGACTTCAACCTCTCCTGAATTCTTCACTTCTTAATATCCTGACTAGCAAATTCTTGTCTTTTAATATCGTGTATTGTGGACTTGCTTACTCTTTAACTTCTGGAAGGAATATCATCAGGAAGAGCCCTCACAAGTATACTGAGCAAACACACGAGTTGGCTGGGTGGGTGAACACTGCAATGCACCACTCCTCTCCCTTCCCGATGCCTTCCTCCTTTCCTCTTCGTCTTCTCTCCGACATGCTTCTGTCACACCCTTATGTCTCTTTTCTGCCTTCTCTTTAGGCTCCTCAGAGCCATCGAAGGCACAGCGAGGACGAGCCGTCCTGCTCCCAGCGCACATATAAGATGAAATAACATTACCCTACATGTGTGTCTATGATGGATTGCTGATGATTAAATCTTCCATGCCGAATTCTCAGCAAGTGAAAACGAAACAAAGTCCCAAATGGGAAACTGAACCACATCAACGTGTAGAAGAAAGCTGCGTGACAAGAGGCTCATAGCAGAGACACTGCAACAAGCATGAAAATATTAGTGCCGCTCCCGTCAGCTGAGCTTAACGGGTCAATCAACTTGTGTGAGTGAAGTGGAAGAAATGTACGGCAACCAAGTGCAAATAAAGATCAGGCTGTGGTTGATAAAAGGACCAAATTGTGTCAGTTCCAAGTTTGGTAAGGTTTCAGCACTAAAACTATTTTTATGTTTACAGATAGTTTCAATTGCAAAGGTGTATTAAAAACACTTTAAAGACTGGCTTTCTGACCCTAAACCTCTGTCGTGTGGTGTTTCTGGGAGCACACAGTGAGCTGTTTGCTTCTTTTGGTTGTAGACAGTAAAAAAAAAGAAAAAAAAAAGAAAAGTTGCCCCATAAACTGTTCACGACAAAGTTTGTAGAGGTTTTAAATAACCGCGTCATGATTCCTGGAAAGACACGTTAGCGCAAAGTTTTCCTGGCTCCCAAAATTACTCCAGCACCAAAGTAAGTGGAGAGCTGAACCCTAACTTGACCTGATTTATTTTATTTTGGAAGAAATTCTTAGGGCTCTGTTGATGTTATTGATGGTTTCTTGAACCCTGAAGCCTCGGGGCTTTCATCCATTCATCCATGTTTGATTTAGCCATTTCTTTAAGAAGCTCTGTTCACTCCAAATACCACCTCCTCTTCCACTTTCCTCTTGCCCTCCTTCACACCGTCTCTCCATCACTCCCATCCTCTCTCTCGTCTGTTCTCACATTCAGAGGAGGTGCTGCCTCCTCTCTTCTCACCTCATCTCCTCGTCTCTGCTGCCCTCCTCTGAGAAACAAGATGTCACACTTCAGAATCGGTCCAGGCCAAATTTCTCACCCGGTGGTGGTGCAAAATATAATTTGTCAGAATTGCTGCAGGGCTTCTCCGGCAAAGATTTTACGACAACAATAGAGTCAAAGTCGTAAAGCAGACCTCCAAATGAGCTCACTTTTGAAGGTCTATGTGAGCCAAACGTGCTGATAAAGCTGACATGGCAGGTTTTCTTACAGGACAAAAGGCCCGAGATGGCTTCTCACTGGCGATCTGAATCGTGCAGATCTGTGAAAACGATTTCATCTACAACCATTTAGCCTGAGTGCTGGCTGGGCAGGT